TTCCCATTTGAAAACTATTATAGTCTCGACTTTTTCGTATTAGAATTTTCGTCTCAAAATGTTACAAAGTACTTGTCATTAAAATATTTATCGCCAGTTTAGGTACACCCTGTATACAAGTGGCAGTTAAAATAGTGCTTACCTGTTGTAACGATAACGTCGTGCGGTTCATAAGAAATTCTTCTTATAATAATTTCGATGTCGTTTTCAATATCCGACCTAGAAAGATGGTTTATATTTCAAATAAATTAATACATTTCATGAATATATTTCAGATAAATGAAACCATTAAAAATTAGTAACATTCAGTATACCTGCCCTGATGGATAATTTTGCTGAAAACGTAAGAAATTTGCTGAAATTTGGTAGAAAATCTCTTGCAATTGACCCAATTTCATTATCATTTCAGCAATTTTTCATTAAAAAATTTATTTTCAGTGAAATTCTGCAAATTTCATAATATATAATACAACATTTATAAAAGTTTTTCACTAATTTTTAATAATATTAATTAACTTTCACCTAATTCCACAGTATTTCGTTGAATTTCATAACAAAACTTATGATTTATTTTAAAATGGTTTCAACAAGTTTCCAATAACGTTCATTTCACTTTTCATCACTTTCATTACATTTTCAGCAAAATTTTTCCATCAGGGTATCCCTGATAATATCAAAATAAATCATAAGTTTCGTTATGAAATTCAATGAAATAATGTGAAATTAGATGAAAGTTAATTAATATTACTAAAAATTAGTGAAAAATTTTTTTAAATGTTGTATATTATGAAATTTGCAGAATTTCACTGAAAATAAATTTTTTAATGAAAAATTGCTGGAATGATAATGAAATTGGGTCAATTGCAAGAGATTTTCAACCAAATTTCAGCAAATTTCATTACGTTTTCAGCAAAATTTTTCCATCAGGGTATTTATTAATAAACAGGGTATTTATTAATAAACATCCTTTTCACGTCCTAAAAACGTCCAGTTTTGGTCCGGCGGGGCCTTAAATCAGACGTTTTTAGGACATCCATAAAAGTAACATTGGACGTTTTTAAAACGTCCTAAAGATGTTCATGGATCTAAAATGGACGTTTTTGTATACGTGCGTAACGTCCAATATGTACGTTTTTAATACGTCCTTAAAACGTTTTTGTGCTGTCTGGGAAGGTGCATGCACATCTTTCTACAAGTATCTTGAAGAAACAAAAAACTTAGCAGAGCGTGGTTTCGATCCACGGACCTCTGAGGCTCCACCTACTACATAATAAAAAATAATATCGAGGAAAAAAGACGGCTCGCCGGGAAGTGAACCCGGCTCGCATATGTAGAGGCCGCGCGCGCGGTGATGCGAGGGGAGAGAGAGGAGTAATCGAGGCTGTCTGCGGTCATCTATCGCCGCAAACATCTCGATATGAACGGTATAAATTTAGTGTCAAGCATACGAGATTTAGTAGTATTATTACTCATCGCCGCAATTTTCCCGATTTGTACGTTATATCGATACGTTTACGCAATATCCTTGCGATTAGTCATCTGTCTGCGGTCATCTATCGCCGCAAACATCTCTCGATTTGAACGGTATAAATTTATTGTCAAGCATACGAGATGTCCGGAAGCGCTCAAGGTGATTTTCAGTTTCCCCGCACGGGTTTTCCGTGTAAGTGCGTCAAGTTCCTCATCCCGCATCCCGCGGGCGACGAAAGTTGAATAAAAAGCGCGAGCGATCGGGCGTTGGTCGCATCGCGTATCGCGTCTAACGAAGAGGTCTGTTATGAGCGGGTGTAATAAGAGAGAAAGTACCGACGAAGAGGAGGATTTATATTGCTACGAGACGGTATCCTCGAGCACGTCGATATACGATAGTGATGTGGAGGATGATGAAAAGCTGTTTGAAAAAAATATGCCGTATTTGATTGTGTGGTGAAGGAAGATGCGCGATGGAATGTGGCGAGTTATCATACGAGGAGGGAAATCGGCGCCAATTGTTCGCGCGAAAAGCTATGGATAGAGACAACGATGTGGTTCAGTAAGTAGTCGAGCGAAGACGTATATGAGTGGAATATTACCGAATAGATGGTGTCTCGATAAGAAAAAAGTGCTTATTCAAGAGCGAGTGAAATTCATATATCCAGAACTAAGCGAGGAACGTGGATTATGGCTGAAAAAACCGAAGCGAGCGAGCTGATCGAGAACGCGGCGAATGTCGTCGACGAGGACGATTATCACGCGTGGGATCGTCGATGCGAGGAGTGTTTGGAATCGTTGAGGCAAGAGTGTCGAAGGTGTCCAAATACTACCGGAACGGACAATTTCCTTGTCGCTTTGATCGCGCGTTTAGAGGGAGCGAGGACCGAACTGCGAGGTCGCGTAGTTCGCGCGGGTGCCGGTCACGATGAATTCAGATGGGTGGAGATCGAGACTACTTTTCAGAGACGGGTATTCACTGGTGCGGTAATCAATTGCCGTTACATCGAGCCTAGAGAATTTCTCGAGGACGTCGGAGACACGGTGATGGAGAAGGTACGCGAGAATTTGGACAGACACACCTGTGTGAAAGTCAACACGATTTTCAATGGGAAATTGCGTTCGAAAAGACCGCTGTAAAGAGCATCGTCACGAAAAATCGACAGCTGTTTCTCACCACAGATCTGTCCGAATGGTACGAC